GCTGGGGGCTGCTCTCGTCCCTTGGGACCCTCCATCTCTTCCCCCCCGCCATCTCCATCCCGTTCCCGTGGTGCTGAGCATCAGCGGGAGCGAACCGGAGCACAACAGGCTGTGCGGGAGCGGGGTAAGGAATTACAGCATCGTCATCCCCCGGAGCGGTGTCCTGCGGGTCCCCAGGGGTGGCTGTCCCTGTCCCCAGGAGAGGAGTCGGGGTCGGTGGCTGTGTCCTGTCCTTGCCCTCTCCCCGTAGTCACCACTGGTTCCTCACCTGACGGGCCCGAGGGTGACACTTGCCATGTCACCGCCGATGGCAGCGCCCCGGGGGGGACACAGTGCTCCCGAACAGCGGCTGACCTGGGCGTACCTGAGGCCACCGACACGCTCCCGTGAAACACCCTGTGCCACGCTGCTTCTTGTTGCTAATAATAAATCAGCTCCTGAAAATGAAATGACACGGGGATGGGGATGGGGTGGGGGGGGGGGTTCGGCTGCTTGACGTGGCCCTACCAGCCTCTGCCTGCAGCCAAGAGCGCGCCTGGGAGCTTGCCCGGGAATGGCAGCGGCTCTCATAAAAGGTTTCATTGCTTGCTACAAGCCTACGTTGCTCAGGAGCATGACCACGCGGATCCGGCTGCGAGGGGACAACAGGATGCACAAGAGCCTGGGCCGGAGCGGCAACACATCCCAGTGGTGAGCGGGTCAGTGGCAGGATAGATGGCGAAGCCAGGGGCATGAGCCTGGCAAAAAAACAGGTGGTTTCTGCCACATTTCCACGCTCTCGGCTCAGTTGAGTTTGGGTCCCTGTGCGGATGAGTTTCTTGATGTGAAAAGCTGCGGCGCTGCATTTAAGCCGCATCCTTCCTGGAGGCTCGCAAAGTGCCTGGCTGTGTGCCCGGAAGAGTTTGCCAACTGCTGGAAATGACTAGAAGAATTTATAAAACAAGAAGACTGTCCTTTCTGTGGGCTTCCCGGCATGTTCCCATCTCCTGTGGGATTTGGGGGCCGGCACTGCATGTCTTGTGGGCTGTGCAAATCTGAGCATCCTGCTGCTCTTCAGTGGTACCAGTGACCAGGGACGGGGATGTGACGCTGAATCCTGGGTGATGCCTGCAGAAGGGCTGGGGCTCTCTGTGCTTTTGGGTCTCTGCCTCTCATTCCTCCCTTTTACCCCCCTGAACCCGGACTCGAGACCTAAATGAGCTCTGCAACCACTGGGGAGCGATTTTTTGGCACCCCCCTGTCCCCCCATGGTCCCGGGGGAACGGCTCCTTCCCAGGGCGAGGGCTGAGCACGCCGCTGCCCTCCGAGGCTTTGGTGACCCACGCTGAGGTGAACTGCGCTGGGGAAAAGCTAATCCCCAATTAGGGTGTTTGTGTTACTTTCCGCCGCCGGCTCTAACTTCCGAGTCATTAGCCTCCAAAAACAGATCCTGGTTTTCACATCTTGCCCCTCCTCCGATGGAAGCAGAACCAGTTTGAGAAATATATTTGCACACAGTTATGGAGCATTGTCCAAATAATCACAGCGAGAGGGAGAGTATCCGTTACCCTCTGGGGAGACCTCTCGTCAGATGGGCAAGTAAAGTAGAGGAGGAAGGCAAAGAGGAAGGTCATCCTCAGCTTTCCCTCTGTTACAGTCCCAGTCCTGGTGGAAAAGGGAAGTCCAGGAGCTCCCTAAAGCACCAGTCCTTTGTGCAGAGCCCCAGAAAGCTTTAGCCCTTCCCCAGAGAGCTCCGGTGCCGGCAGCGTGCCGGGGTACCCAGCTGGGTAACTCGTTTTCCGCTTGCTCAGCCAAGATGGTCACAAGGATGCCGGGCGCCTCGCCGGGAGAGCAGCCGGCTGGAGCTCGGCTCCTGCGAGGCCACGGCAGAGGCACCCGGGAGGGGAGACAGAGAGACAGGGGGCCGCCATGTGCCTAAGACCCCCCTGTGCCTGATCCCTGCGAGGCGAGATCCCAAACGGCACCTAAGGGTGCCAAAACGCATCGGCCACCGGCTGCGGCATCCGCCGAAGATCCTGCCTCTTGCGCCGGGACGGCACGAGCTCGGTGCAGCCGGCGCGTTGGGGTGTGCTCGGCCCGTCCTCTGCCCCCATTTCCTTCCCCTTGCCGGGGCAGGGGGAGGGATGGCTGCTCCCTCGTTACTCATTAACACATCGGGCGCTCACAGGTAGCCGGGACAAGGTTCTTGCACAGCCACTCCGGCTCTGCTGAGCCCCTGGGTGCCGCTTCCCACCCTGCTGCGTCCCCGAGCAAGAGCCGCTCGCTCTGAATCCCTCCCACAGGGCCAGGAGCCGGAGCTGGAGCCGCTGATCCCCGTTGCTTGCCCCGGGATATGGAAAAACCCAGCGACGAGTGACCCTGCTAGCGATCGTTGGGACACGGGGACTGGTTGGTGCGATGCTTAAAATCAGCACTGTGCTCGTTGTTTTAAAAATGGGGTTTTATAAAAGGGTGCCTGGGCCGTAAATGTCATTGGAAGAACGAAGGCAAATGGCTCGTTATTGAGGTGCAGTGCACACGGAGATGGTGATGAATAAGTAGCAGCAGTTGCTCCCTGCCCAGCACCCTTGTACTGGGAAGGGACGGTTCTGCCACGGCCTCCCAGGACCATCACCCATGCCTGCAGCGTCCCAGCCGGGTGGTCATGAGAGGCAGCTCCGGCTCCCGTGTGAACATCCGGATTCAATGCAAAGGGAAAAACCCGCAGGAAAGTCAGCACAGCCTCGGTGCCCGACGGGCACAGGGTGCCGTGTGAGATGTCATGGACAGGTTGGCTGATCTGCCCCAGAATTGCCCCGTGGGCTGGCGGCAGGCACTGGATGGGGCTGATGGTGGATGGCAGCCCCAGACCTGGGGCGTGAAATCCCCCGGCATGGCCTGAGCATGGCTGGCAGCCACCAGCTCCGGGAAGCAACTGGGGGAAGAGGGTGTCCATCACCGTTGCTTCAAAGATGCCTTCAGGCCTGACCCCACCACATCGGCCCCCTGCCAGCTCCGTCGCACAAGCGCACGGGCTGCTAATAATGTGGGTCACCGGTTGCAATGGCTGCTTGTTACGGGGCTGTTTGTGCACACTGAGCTGTGCACACACGTGCGCACACGTGCACACGGGCACATGCGCACGCACACACCGTGGTGGGCATTGCGAGACCGTGGCCGAGTGCTGCTTGGGGCACCCATAAGCCCGTGGCACGGGGTGGCACACGCAGGGGCTGCCGTGGGAGCTGCCAGGACAGGCAGCCTTGATGCAAATATTTAAAACCCAGTATCTGCAAGTGTTTAAAGCCCGGTATCTAGGCTGAGCAAAGGTAAAGCTGAAGGAGCACGATGCGGGAGTGGGTGTGCTGGTGGGAGCTCCGGTGCTCGGTCCCTGCAGCCAGACCCCCCCCACCCATCCCTGCTCCGCTCCCCGGCTGGGCCAGCGTCTCCTTCGGGAGCAATTATGGCAGGAATGGCGCTTTCCTCGTCCCCCTTCTCTGCAGGGCAGAGCGGGACCTGGCACCCAGGCACCCAGATAAGCGGGAGCCGCCGGCGCCTGTGGCCCAGGGGTGGGATCCTGCCCTGCTCCCGTGGAGCTCCCAAGGTCCCTGCGGGGCAGACGGCGCTTCGGGCTCCCTTTCGTCTCTGCCCCAGCTGGGCACATGCCCAAGCTGCACTCCTCTTCCTCCTCCTCCTCCTCCTCTGGCCCCACTGCGTGACCTTGCCTCCCTCTCGCAGGATCTATCCTGACCCTCTTTGCCCTGGCCGGTGCACTGGGAGTTTTGCAACGACTCCGGCATCTCCATGGCGGATGCAGGATGAGACCCCAGGTGCCAGCTCCAGGGACTCGACTGCGGTGCTCACCCCGTGCCGACTCCCACAGCAGCATCCCCACGGCACCCCTGCCTCACTGCTGGTGGTGGGCCTCAAGGCAGGGCCCCCCCCCCAGCTCTCAGCTGGGGAAACTGAGGCAGGAGGTGAAGCGAGCCAACCTGTTCCCAAGGGGCCAGTGCCATCCAACCTCCCCCGGCCCAGGTGAATGCCTCCACGTGCCATCCCTACGCAGCCACAGCCGCTTCGGCTTCACTCGGGGACCCCCACACCCGGCCGGGGTGAAGGGGCCACCTTGCGAGGGCAGGGCAGGAGCAGGCGCACAATGCTGCCGCCCTCCGAGCCAGGATCCGTCCCTGGAAGCGTTCCCAGCTCCAGCGATGAATCACACTTTCCCCCTGAGATCAGATTGCAGCTCCTGCGCATGGAGGGGGGGACACACCAGATCCGCACTGCTCACCCTGCTGCAGCCGGAGCCCCCGCGGCCTCGGCAAACAGACCCACGGTGGGCCACGTGCGGAGACCACCGGGCTGGCAGCATCACCCAGCTTCGCCGCTGCTAAAACCAGTTGGCGCTGGGGTTTGGGCAGGCTGGGTGCCCCGCGGTGCCATCGGCGCTGCCGGAGCCTCTGGCCGAGGAGGTCCCGAAGTTGGGGACCAAGCCTGTCCCTAAAGATTGTGGGATGGGGACAGAGCCAGAGCTGCCGTAGCGGTGCCAGGGTGGCGGTGCCAAGATGGTGGTGCCAGGGTGGCGAGACCACAGTGTCGGCTCCTTCCCTGCCCTCGGGGCGGATCTGCCTCGCGTAACGGGAAGGAAAAATCCACCGGGAAGGGGGATGGCAGCACCAGGTCAGCGGAGGCGAGGCGAAGGGACCCACAGCTGCTCTTTGCTCCCCGTGACCGTCTTCAGCCGCTCACCGGGTCCGTGCCGGGGACGCCGCGGCGGCGGTGGGGCAGGGCAGTGACTGGAGCCGCTGCCATTTATTCTAACAGCCGGAACATTTTGTCTCTGAAATACTCTCCTGCCTTTTGCTTTCCCCTTCGGCAGCAGCACCGATAACTCCCCGCCAGCTCTGTTTACCCGAGCAAAGTCCACTCCGGTTCGCAGACGACAGTGTCTTTCCGTGCCGGCCCAACTCGGCGCGTGCCCGTGGCCGGCCAGGCTCTGCCGAGCGCATCGGGGTCCGGCTGCTGACACCCGAGCTGGCCGTTGCCTGGTTATATCCACAAAACAGCCCCGCGCCGGGGCCGGGGCCGGGGTATCTTCTTACGGAGGAGAGAACAGCTGAGCCTCTTCAATCCCCACCCTGCCCTTGGCAGCTCATTAGATAAACCCCAGCCCGGGCTCTGCAGCGCCGCTGCCATCGTCCCCTCCATCCCCTACAAGGGTTTGTTGGACCCAGCCCGCACGACCCGCAGGTTTCTCCCCTTGGCAGTTTCAGCTCTAGATATATATTTATACACGCGACTTGTGCGAGTTAACAGCATTCCTCTCCTATTGAGTCAAAAATCTCGGCACAAATAGAGGCGCTTCATGGAAAAAAAGAGAGAAAAAAAAGGTGGGTCATGCTGAAAAAAGCAACAGGATCAAAACAAAAAAAGAAAAAAAAGAAAAAAACCCCCCACCTAAATCTCCCTTTTCCTTTTAAAGCTCTGTTCGCGGGAGATGGACAAGCGCAGTTATTTTAAACCTGATTTCGGCAGCCCAGCAGCGAGCAAGGCATGGGCAAGGTGTCGGTGATGGTGTTGGTGACGCAGGGACAGGGTGGCACTGGGCGATGTTGCAAGCTGTGGTACGCGTTGCTGGGCGATTTTGGGGCACGTAAGCTGGCGACTTCCTGAACGGCGAGTGCCGACTTCCTCAGTCACGGTGGCAGCGGGCAGGATCGGGCCCAGGCGGAGGTAGGCTCAGTTGGCTCTAATACCACGGGGGGCGGCCGGGCAAAGCGCCCGCTGGCCGTGTCACCACCTTGGGCGGTTGCACCCGTGCCAACACGGCAATATATCTAAAATATGTATTTTATATAAATACATGCTAATAATATAACCACTGAAGGGGCGGTTTAGGGTGCCGCGGGGTGGGGAGGATGGGGACGGGCACTGCGGGTGAGCGGAGGTGGAAAACCACGTCTGTGGGCAGCGAAGGCAGCGGTGCCGGGCACCTGGCCACCGCAGGGCTTTGCGGAGCGAAATACAACCAACTCCATCCCCAAAACAGAGGGGAAAGGGGAGGCAGAGATGGGGTTATGGGTGGAAGAGGAAGCGGAGGCTGCGTTCTGCCGTTACTGGGGTGTTTGCAGGGCCCAGCGGGGGCACCTAAAGACCCCTGAGTTATTGGTATTTAATACACGAATATGCTTTAATAAATACCAAGGGGAGTGCATCGCTGCCTGGCTGAGCACCCCGCTCTGTGCACAGGATGAGGCCGCAGCGTTTGGCGGCCACGTGCTGCATCCTCCTCTGGCGTTTCCCCTTCCAGCCGCCCACGTCGGAGGCAAACCCCACGCAGCTCCAGGGGACGCTGTCCAGGCACCCCACTCTCCCCATCCCGGCCCCCCACGTCCTGCCCGGGATCCCAGCCCCGCAGCTCCTGGGAAGGAGCCCCCAGCACCGTGGGAAGGGGCACGTTTAAGCAAACCTCCACCTTAAATCACGGGTGGGAACAGCGGGAGAGGAATATGGGGGGATGCGGGGGATACTCCCTAGGGATGCAGGCTGGCTGCAGCCAGCCCCTGCAGCTGCCTCTGCCAGGGATGCAGGCGGCTTGGCCTTCCCCGCCCTCCTCCTCCTCCTCCTCCTCCTCCTCCTCCTCCTCCCCGGGGCGGAGGGAGCAGCAGCCCGCAGCTGGCACTGCAGGCGGTGGCCAAGCGAAGCGGCTGCTCCGGGGAGTCTGATTTCCAACCCTGTTTATTAATAACCCCCCACCCCATGCTAAGCCCATGTGCAGCGCAGAGCCGGAGGTGCTGGGCTCCAGGGGAGGACGGTAAGAGCCCACCCGGGGCGAGCAGGGAGGGGGGAGAGGAGAAGGGGCTGGTGTCTGGCCAAGGGGGGGTCCCATGGGTGCGGGATCCTTGGGGGGCGTGGGGCAGGCGAGGGGGCTGCCAAAGCTTGGGGTGCAGGGATGGGGTGGGGGGATCAGAGGTTCAGCACTCGGGGAGCATCTGTGGACCCTCAGGAGTGGGGGGCGGGGAACAGCCCCTCCAGGGTACCCAGGAGTGCTGCCCACCTGGGGGGCTCTGGGACGAGGAGTGGGGGGGTGGGAGCGAGCCCCTGAGCCCCACTGTGAAGGTGGGACAGCCGTCCTCCCCCCCTGCCCCACCCATGCAAAGCAGAGCCGGGAACTTTGAAAAATAAGCGCTGGCACTGGAGGAGGGCAAGGAAAAATGAAGCGGACCCCTTTCTCCACCTTTCCAGGCGCTGCCCCCTCTCCAGCCAACGGGCCATTAAGTCCGAGGCTGCGATGTGTCATCGCTGCCGAAAACTACCTTATTAGGAGAGAAAGTATCGGTGAAAATCAGTTCTTTCCTTAAAGCCGTTGCTGCAAGCCGAGGGCTGCCTGCGAGTGCCAGCCTGCGCTCATTCCTCAGGGGATGACTAGACATGAGCTCAGCGGTGTGGCCGGGAGGTGAGAGCATCCTCCCACCAAACCCACCGGCCCCAGCTCCTGGAAGCAGCAGGAAAAGCCCCGGCTCGTCCCCGAGGGTTGTCCTCTCCATCCTACCCCAAATAGCACCCGAGCAAATGTGAGACGCAAGTATTTGGTGGTGGCAGCTGCAGGTACCGGGGCTGGGGATAATGATGGGATCGGATGACTCTGCAAAGAGGAGCTTGCTGGGCTCCTGCTGCAGAAACTGCCACTCGCTCCGGCACTGTGCATGCGGTGCTTTACTCCATCTCAACCATATCAGAGCCTGCCTGTGCTTTAGAAGCACATTCCCTTGCTGTGAGGTTATGCCACATGCTAAAATCCCCGCAAGTTTTACTGGGAGTGTCCACGCCGGTCACACCGGTGCCGCTGGGAGAGATCGGCTGCGACAGGGTGGCAGTTTCTCTCGGCACTAGAGTAGCTCTTGGTTTTGGGGTCTGGGTTTGCATCCCTCGCTCTTTCTCCGTGGCAGTCAGTCACTTTAAGAGGGTTTTCTTCCCTTGTTTTCGCCCATGACAAAGCTGACAGTTTGGCTCCAAGTTGTCATCAGAGCATGCCCTGCCCAGTGTGCACAGCCTGTGGGTGACATGGGGATGGTCACGGCAGTGGGGCCATGGCGAGCGCACCCCCAGCTCAGCCTGCTGCGGGGCACCCGCGTCTCGCTGAGACCTGTTACACTCATTGCTCTGGTTCACATCTCCTCTTCTTTCCAGGGACCTGATGGCAGAGCCCGAGCCCCGTCTAGAGCTGCAGCTGGATGAAGTCGGAGCATCCTCAGCCCCGCAGGGAGAGGCTGCAGGTGCTGCTCCGCACCCGGACCTTTCGCGCAGCCCGTTAGACCCCGCGGTAGGGGTGGGGGTGACACCCCTCCACGGGGACAGCCCAGATGCTGGCCAGGAGCTGCAGGCAAATGTCGGGGACACTTCCTTGGAGGTAAACATGCCAGGGTCCCAGCTGGACGAGGATGTGGCTGGGGCCGGGATCCCGCTGGACGTGGACGTGGCAGGAATCCCGCTGGACGTGGATGGAGTAGGGATCCCGCTGGATGCGGATGGGGCAGGGATCCCACTAGGTGTGGATGCAGGTGGGGCAGGGATCCCACTAGGTGTGGATGCAGGTGGGACGGGGATCCCACTGGACATGGATGCAGATGGAGTAGGGATCCCGCTGTACATGGACACAGACGGGGCAGGGATCCCAGCTGACATGGATGCAGAGGGGGCAGGGATCCCCTTGGACATGGACGCAGAGGGGGCAGGCAGCCCCCTGGACACGGATGGCACGGAGCATCAGTGTCTGACCCTCGAAGAGCTGGGGGACTACTTCCAAGAGTGCATCGAAGCCGTCGAGCAGCTGGAGAAAGAGAGAGACAGCCTGATCGCAGAGCTCGCCCAGCTCCGGGAGCCAGCGCTGCAGGAGATCCGCCATGCCCACGAGGAGATCCAGGCAGCCTGCCGGCTGCTGGCCAAGGTGGAGCTGGAGAGGGACAACCTGAAGGACGAGATCCGACAGATCAAGCAGAAGCTGTTCAAAGTGACGAAGGAGTGCGTGGCTTGCCAGTACCAGTTGGAGAGCCGGCGGCACGACCTCTCCCAGCACGCTGCTTACCGGGGCGAGCTGGAGACCCAGGCTGGGCAGCTCTCTGGTGAACTGTCCCGGCTGAAGGAGACCTGCGAGAAGGAGAAGGAGGTTTTGAGGCAACGGCTGGAGGCTCCGCCGTGTCGACAGGATAACCTGTACCTGCAGGAAAGCCGGCGGCTCTCCATGGAGTTCGAGAGCTTCGTGGCGGAGAGCCGGCGGGGTCTGGAGGAGCACTACGAGCCCCAACTGCTGCGGCTGCTGGAGAGGCGCGAGGCCGGGGCGAAGGCGCTGCAGGAGATGCAGGGGGAGATCCAAGGGATGAAGGAAGCCCTGCGGCCCTTGCAGGGGGAGGTCAGCCGGCTGCGGCTGCAGAACCGGAGCCTGGAGGAGCAGATCATCCTCGTCAAGCAGAAGCGGGATGAAGAGGTCGGGCAGTATCGGGTACGTGCCCCGGCTGGGCACCCCTCGCACCCTCTTCTTTGGAGAGTGGGAGTCATTCTTTGCAGCCGGTGAAATGTGGATGCTGAACGTCTCGCTCGTAGGGCCAAGGGGAGGAGTGGGGTGGATGAGGAGGGTAAGGAGGTGGAATATCTCCTCCTGGTTCAAGTCAAAAGCATCCCCTGCCCTGGCACGGGCCAGGGGAAGCAGCAGCCCCTGGGCGCAGGGCAAACCCAAGGTTACAGGGATGCGGTGGGAAAGTGCTGGGGCTTCACTCGAGCTGCTAGAAAAAAAAGGTTTCTCCTGCTTATAGTCTTACTTGGTTTTGACCTGCCCCTCGGAAATGGCTCCAGCAAGCAGGGATGAGGCAGAGGGGAAGGACGGGAGGTTTCCTTCCCAGAGCGGGCTGGTGGCAGAGCTGCTGAGCCCAGGCACCACACGTTTCTTGCAGCTTGCACTAGCACGGGGGCTGAGCTAAGGCGCCTGGAAAAGTCAGTTTTAAGTAAAGGTGGCTTTTCTTTTTTAAAAGCCCAGCCCTGCCAGGAAGGGTCTCGCCTCCTGTGCCCACAGCCCAGGAGCCAGGCTGCCTCCCGAGAGGGTTATTTCTGGCTGCGCCAGGCATCTCCCCCCCCGCCCCCCGGCACCTTGTCCTGAGGGATAAGGCAATTCAATATCTACAAGAGCACATTTGGCAAAGAAGCTCCACAATTAATCTCTGCTGTTTCAACACTCCCTGTTCTCTGCTCGTAATCGCTGCCTCCTCCCAGCCTGGCTCTGAGCAGCTTCTGGAAGCTGGCATCCCCCCTCCATTGCTTCTCCTCTCTGCTGAGCTGGGGACCAGGTCACCAGCGCCCACAACACTGCTCGTCTTGGGTTTCAGGGTCCACTCCCTCTGGAAGGACAGGACTTTGGGGCATCCCTGATGTGCCTCCACATTTTCTTTTTCCCAAATTCCATGTTTATCTTCTCCTGACTCGTGGGTTTATACAATTCTGACAGCATCTCAAAACACACACAAAGTAGTCTAGGGGATGAAACCAACCAGCCGAGAGAAGCCTAAGAACCCAGCGCATCACATCCCAGCCCAAGCTCCCACCTTTGTAATAAAACAAAGCTTTTTTGCAGAGGTTTTTTTTAAGACAGTAGTTGGCCAGCCATCAGCCTGGCTGTGCTTTGTCCAGAACAACACCATCGACAGGCAGATTCCCCCTCCATGAGAGCGTGGGCAGCAGCTGAGCGTGGTCACCGAGACAGCCTTCCTCCCCCAGGTAATCCACTCTTGTCTTCTTACTCTCCAGGAACATGTTGAGGAGCTGGAAGACAGGCTGAAGGAGCTGAAGAACGGGGTCCAGCTCCAGCAGCGCAAGAATCAGGAACTGGAGGAGCTGAGGACCAGCCTCCACCGGGAGCTCTCCATCTACAAGTCCGTCTGTGTTTCGTCCCTGCAGTGCGGGGGGGGCTGGGAGGAGGAGGATGGTGGAGAAGAGAGGCTGGTGGTCACACAGCTATTGGACACCATGGGCTTTTGGTCCCGGTCCCTGGGCACGTGGCCGGTGTGTAAGCAAGGGGTCTGGTGGGGCAGCACAGCAGGAGCTCCAGACCTTTGGCCATCCAGGAAATAGGGATTTGGTGGAAATTCCTGTACACAAGGAGTGGAGGTTGCTTTCCAAGTTGCTTTCCGAGAAGCAGGCGTGGCAACTTAAAACTAAGTGCCAGTTTCCTTAGGAATATTGGAAAGGAGCTGTGGTTTAGATTGGGAAACACCGTTGTGGGTGCTTTCCAGTGAGAGAGAACTATCTGCTTATCACTCCCTACTGCTGGTTTCACTCAGGTCTTCATTACACAGGATTTTTTAAAGCTCCAGAAAATGTCTTTAAGTTTGTGGACTATTTTACTCACCAAAATTTGTGGTGTTATGTGTTACTCCAATCTCAGCTGTACACACTCTTAACCATTTTCTGTAGCTTCACTGTTACTTTAGTACTTTTTTCCTCTTCTCCACTCAAACCTCCTCATGCAAGCACACCACGGGAAGATATTCCCTGCCACAAATAGCTATAGTTTCTTTTATCCAGGTAAGACTTCAGCATGGTAAGCACAGGGGAAGACATCTCTGTTTCAGCCTGGCACATCACCAGCCATTCCAAGACGTATTAATGAGAGTGACTGCATTTACTATTCAGACCAGATCCCAGCAACCCCATGTCTTTGCTGCTTGGGGTCCTTCTAAATCACAGACTAATATTTAAGCCTGGGTGCAGCAGCGCAGTCTCTTAACTCCTGGCAATCTACAAACTGCTGTCCCTGGAAGCAATAGCGTGCAAGGTTTCTCGTGTGTCAGGACACCTCATTAAGTTTCACATTTGCACCAGGGACCTCAGAGTTAAGTATGGCTCCGAGCTGCCATCTCCCATAGCTCACACCAAAAATTACATTCCCTTCTGTTAAAGCTAGTTTGTTTGCCAGGGGTTCTGGAAGGGCTGGGCTAGGTCTGCGCACTCACAAGACCATATACTGAGCCAGTTTAAGCATTCCCTAATTACTTTCTTCCATACCGTGAAAAGAAAGAATGTTTTTCAGAAATAACATCTGCCCCCCTTCCCCATTTTCTCCAGCCAGAGTACCTGAACTAAATATCCAGTAGCCTTAATTTACTTTCTACCCATACAGGAGCTGCTTAGAAATCTACGGCCACCTTTGCAAATCGGAAGAAAAAGCAGACCAGGACCGTTAGGAACGGCGGACTTTTCCTTGTTGTAGCAAAAGCAAAGGACAGAGGCATCTGCAGGAGACCTCGCCTCTTGCTGCTTATCCTACCTGATGCGCAGCAGCTGCCTGAAGTCAGGAATACCAATCATTTGCTTGTGTGTATTTCTCAAGGCGCTGCTGCTGATTATGTAGTAAAACTGCTTTTCCACAGAGGAGCAGAGGAAATAATACTTGCACTGAACAATGGACATATATGAAGGATAAGATATATGTTTTACTGTGTTCAGAAAATGTATCTTGTCTTGTTTCATAGTGGATTGTATACAGAAAGTATTGTTCTGGAAGCTAGTGTTAGGGGGGGTTGATTTTTAAAAGTTTACATGTGAGAGAAGCTTTATCCTTTTAACAGGATTTTCTTTTGTATTTCAAGAGTCTCTGCTGTATTGTGACATGCTTAAAGGTCCTTTCCAACCTAACTGATTCTATGCTCCACTGTGGGCCACAGAAACTAGTTTGTGGATAAGAGGTTTCCACTTTATATTATATAAAAGTCTCACACTGAAAATAAAGGTCGGAGTTTAAGGATCCTTTTCATTCTCAAAGCTGTCTCAAAATAACAAGCTTGTGTGTCAAACCAAGGTACTTCAAAGTATCAAACTATTCATGCTGCAGACTAATAAAAAAAAAAAAAAAAAAAAGTTCTGTGGTAAGGGCTACAGGCAGACCCAAAATCCAGACAGCAGCACGCTTCAGGTGGAAGGCACACTTCAGTGCATTCTTGACTGCTTGGGGATATGAAGTACTCATTTACTCATTTCACAAAGAAAGCAGCAGAAACAAGAGGGGGAGAAGTGTCCACGTGTTAGAAACTAAGGAATATCTATACTGGCATCTAGTCTCATAGGACACGTATAGATAAAGACTACACCCCTGCTTTCTGAAGAGGTACGCTTCACTCGACAAAGTAGTTAATGCGGAAGGAAAACATCAGTGCAAAAATCACAAAGCTACACAGCATTTACGTAGAAAAAATTTATTCCATCTGAAGCACTTACACGCAATTAGTCATGAGGAGCATGGAGAGTAACAGGTTGCTGGTGGAACAGGACACCCTAGTGGAAGATGTGCAGGAACTAGTGGTCAAGGACTAACTCCTAAAAAAAGTAGTTCATCCACATTTAGTTTGCTTTACAGATACCAGCTACCAATGCTGTTTTAGGTTACCGGGCATGCCATCTGTGGTACATCAGTTGGTAAAAACATACACCTTTACAACTTGGTGGCCCCAAGTTTTAAAAACCATTTCACAGAAAGGAAAGAAATATATGTGAAAACACAGCTCAAGAAACACACAATAGAGCAAAATACATGGAAGGTGAACAATGCTCTGCAGGAATAGCTAACGAATCCAAACCGCTGTCACCCAGCAGACGGGAGAAAAGGGAAAGGAAGGAAGGAAGGAAGGAAGGAAGGAAGGAATGAAAAACCCAGAATTACCAGTAGAGACAAAAAAATACAGAAAGAAATTTAATTTCAGTTCAAGTCAGAATCTGCAAGTCTGTTTTGTATCTGCAGAGGCAGAAAAATCCACAAGGTACAGATTAACTAAAGGAATCCCAAGACTTCTGAGTTGTACTGAAGAGGACAAGACCTTCCACACCATTTCTGAACTGTCAGTGGATTAACACTTGTATCATCTCCATTGGCTCAGGCATACTCTGGCAGCTCTACCAATTTAACTTTTGTTTAAATTAGGCAAAAGCCCACAACTGTAGCAAGCTAACAACAGAAGAAAAAAAACAAAACCAAGTTTGCTGTGTGATGAAGGCAGCTAAAATGGGACAGCCAGCCCTATACGCAAGAGGTTGCTGTAGGAAATCTGACCAAGGAGCTACAGCACAGTACCAGCTGAGTCGGGCTAAGCCCTTTTCTTAGGGAGTACTCACTGTCTGGGTTAAAAAGCCTGTTGATGGTATCTACAGAAGGATGGCTGAACACAAAGTCTACGTGTGTCTCAAAACCAGTGTTAAGTCAATATCAGGGCTGAGAGGGAAGAGAAGGAAAAAGACTAAAAATAGGAAAAGGTTGTCGTCTAGGATCCTTGACCTTCTGGATCCACACTTCCTTCAGGGTCTTCATCATTATATATGTTCTCCGCCTGCAAGACAGTGGAGGAGCCGAAGAAGCATTTACCACCACAGTGAACAGGATTCCATCTGCTAGAACAATTCAAAAAGTTCTGGCAGTTTTTCATCTGCAGGTATGTTATCACCCATCCCGGACCCCTCAAGGCCATTTAACATAAAAGAAGCAATGCAAATGACCTTTTCCATAAGAGCCATATCTCCAAAACATTTCATAAGTACCCTGTAGGCTACTGTAGCTTAAGGAAATCTGCCTTGTTAAAGTAGAGACCGCTGCAAGACTTACTTCAATTAACAGACTATTTTGTATACATTTAGTAGATCCTCTACTTTGCAGCAGCACCTTCCAAAAGAACTATGTGGAAGGCTGCTAAGAACAAAGCCCCTGGAAAACAATTTATAGATAAACAAAAATTAGGAGTATGGTCTTGTCAAAGGTTATTCAAATAGTACAAGACTGTTTTCCAAAACCTTCAAACAGCTGGTAATTTAGGGCCAGCAAACTTTTCCTATTCACCACCACCCCTCTCCATCTTCAGGAAGACATTTATATCATTTGCAAAGATTTCATTCTTTAAGACAATAACTAACAGAAACCTCAACTTCATCTTGGGTTCTCACACACCCTGTTTTCATTCAAACGTAGAAGGGAAAAATTTGATTCTGCACCAATACTTTTTTTTTTTAATCATGAGAAACACAGAACAGCTTCTGAGTATTTGTAAACCATTGTTTCAACCAAACCTAAAGTGGATTTCACTATCCCTTTGAGATTTAAGCAGTGCTACAAAATGAGTAATTCTGATAGCTGTAAATAAAACCAGGAATGCCGAAATCCAGGCAGTTCAACACCGTCTCTCATCTGCCACTTCCCGCACCTTCCCAAACAACTTACCATTTGCCAGACTTGCATGATATTATCTTCTGATACAGAACAAATTACCCAGGGTTCATTGGGATTCCAGGAGAAATCAGATATCTTTGCAGTATGACCACCATGAATAAACTAGTATTGGGGAAACAAAAAGGGGAATGTTTTCAAATCTACATCACAGAGATAACCAGTCAAAACAATCAATAAGATTCAAATGATTTACCAATAGCTCTGGGGGACCATCTTCAGCATCTTCAGGGGATTGCTCTTCTCCAATTTTACTGTTTAAAAAAAAAAGGGGGGAGGAAAAATGAAAAGGTGGGAGGTTGGTTGTTTTTTGAAGTGTGATGCAATTCGTCAATAGTATTTTGTCAGGACAACATTGACTAATTTGGGATTTACCTCAAGTCCCAAACATTTAGCCTGCGGTCAGTGCCACTGGAAGCCAATATAGTTTCATTATGGGGAGACCACTGAACCTACAGACAAGGATGAATTTAGAAAGAAAGTTAGTTTTACAAAGCTGTAATGTCACAGACATTCACAACAAACGCCACTATCTTTTGCATTGTGAAAGCTCTGTGAGAATTCAAATTGATATTAACTTGAAATATGGATATGTCCAGTAATAACATTCTAACACAGGAGGTAGGTTTGTGAACATTCATACACTAAAAAGACATTTGAGCACCAAAAAAGCTACCACACGTAAGCTTTCCTCTAACAAAGACCACGTGTTATGAAGTGCAAACAGCCCTCAAGGATATTAGCTGCTCTTTACCTTAATAAGGATTGCAAAAATATAAACTATGGATTCCTTAAGTAGTAAGTACAGTTAATACATGAAAAGAAATCACTGTAATTAAGCTTAACTGCGCAAAAGCTTACGTTTACTACTTCTGCTGGAGATTAATCTCTTCAAAACACACTTTATAGGATCACAGGATTAGAAAAGAACACATAATTCTGCACACTAACCTGACATTTCAAGATTCCATGTGTCACTTTATTCAGAGGTAACTACAGTCTTAACTAGTAACCCTTCTACAAAAAATCTCTACATATTTTTCTTCTGAGTAAGGCATGAGTTGGAGATGGAAATACTGTATCTGCTAAGCACATGCTACCCATGATGTTAACATTCTATATTTACACCAGCAAAATTAGCAATTGTTCGTTGTCACAGGATGTTCCGGTGATCCCCTTTAATGGGTACCAGCTAAAGCCTTCCTACAGGACCAAGCTGAGAAAATGAAAACACTGCAGCCATTTCATTGTGCCTCCCTGCTTCAATCTGCTGCCATGAATAATTTACATTTACTCTGTACTGCTAGCATTTCACCCTTCTGTTGTGGTTAAAGCTCTCGATCTTTGCTTGTTACATTCTGCCCCTGGCTTTCTGGACACTCTTATCTGTGCTGGAGCTCTACCCCACACAGAGTGCTATACAGCTCCACAACAATAAGCCAGAAAATTATAAGCAGATGAGAGAAAAGAATATAGGAGTTTTTAAGTGCAAGTACACTTAATAAAAACATAGAGTAGAAAAGAATGTTCTTCATTTTTTCCAGACAGCTAAGTAGAACTAAGTCTATGTGCATAAAAGAAAGACATTTTGTTATACCTGAAATATTTCATCTTTATGTGATTCAAAGGAGTGCAACTTCAGTTTTAGGTTCCTCAAGTCCCATAAAGCAACAGTCTAGGAAAAAACACATAAGAACATTTTTTTGTTGAAGTAACCAACAAATACATCCACATTTACGCACCAGAAACTAAACAAGTATGCTTCAAGTTCAAGGCAGACATACCTTATCAGCTGATCCCGTAGCCAGAATAAACTCACTATAGGGATTGAAAGAGAGGCAGTTGACTTCAGCTGTGTGAGCATCCACTGAATGGCTAGGTTTGGAGGTGTTGTTTGACCGAGTATCCCAACTGTCAGGGGAAAACATGGAATTGAAACAAAGGTTTATATCCCATTTTACTGAGGGACTAAGGAGCAGATGGGAAAGCAAGAGGGACAGAAGCACTCAGATTCTGAAGACATTAACCCCACTTACATCATGAGCTTCTGATCATCAGCAACAGATCCAAAAAGAGATTCATGGAGCAGGTGCCAAGATACATCTTCCACTACTGCTGTATGCCCTGTGAAGATGGTCTTTGCGTCCACCACTTTGCCTTCTTTTGGAACAGCACTAATATCCCACAAGCAAATGGTCTTTTAAAAAAAAAAAAATAAAATTAAAATTGCATCTTTAGACAGACACTCTTGTTACCTCCCCTACTCCTCCCCCTCAGAAAAAACAAAACGATTTTTGACCTTTGCCACGGGGCACAAAGTGCAGATTGTACCCAAGCTATATTTAAAATACTCACATGATCATCAGAAGCACTAAGCAAATGCCCACTCAGGTTGGGGTTCCATGACAGCCCATAACCTTCCTTCTGGTGTCCACGAAGACGCAGATCAGGGTTACACTCTCCAGAAGGGTCTGTAAAGAGGTGGCGTAAGAAATCCAGTGCCTAGGATCATTTCCAGCACATCCTGGAACACCTGGCATTAAGTTTTACTGTGCTTTACTAAACTTTGCTTTGACATTTTCAACAGGATCCCTCTCTAGCCTTTTGAGCACTCTCCCCAACTGAAGAATCACCTCATTAAAACAGAATGCACTGAAACAACAAAAAGCAGTTTGTCTTCTTAGCTTAATAAAAGCACTCTGCAGATTTTTCCAAGCTGCTTTTTTTTTTTTTTCTGGCTGGATGACCTAGCAGTAGTCCATTCTAAATTAGCGCTACAGTACCTGCTGAAGAATCAGAAGCCCAGTAGCCACCTCCATGCTTTGGCATGAGTCGCCTGATCTAGCTGCATGGAGGAACAGCAGCTCATCTCAGTTACTGCTCAAAAAACTCTTCCTGAACACTCTGCTGGTGCAGTATTTTTCTCTCCCTCATCATCTCCAACTCCATTTTGAAAGTGAGAAAGGCACTTCTGATCCTCCCCGCGAGTGGCAAAACTAGTTACTCTATACGATCTTGATGAGTTCATCGGTAAATGGCTGTTAATATCCTTACAGGATATCGGGACAACAGCTCAGCTACCCAGCAAATCATACAGTTTCCAAAGAGCCTCCTTCCACCACCCCAAATACCAACACACAGAGTGACATGATAAAACATGCAGTAGAACAGCAAAAAAAAAAGCATACCTTTCTATTGATACATATTGCATACATATGTTTAAACTTCATATAAAATAACCTTTTACACTAAAAACCCACTTTCCCCTAAAATCACAAATGACATGCAATCCACAAAACTTTTTAACTCTTTTTCACTACACCAGCTTTTTCTTAAGGAAGGGCTAGCTGATCTCTGAAGCACAGACATAAAGCAGACACCTGGTTTAGAAGGGTGTTTGGTGTAATCAAAGACAAGGACATCACTGGATGGAGTCTTCGTAGCGATGATACATGGGTTCTGTGGCATGTAACGTGCTCTGTTCACTTCTCCCTCGTGATTTATCTTGATTTCAATTTCAATTTTTCCACTAACTGATCCAAAGCCTCCAAACTCTGGAAATAAGAATTTAGTAGTTGTAAATAACAAGCCCATTATTATTTACTGGTAGTACATCTGGTACTACCAAGCACTTATTTTGAAAGACAGTCACAAGAACAACTGTAACTGAAAGAATCCAGCTTTCAAATAGCATGTTGTTTTAAGCACCTCTATTCGTAACATCAAAATATCAGGATTTTGGCTAAGTTAAAGACCATTTCGTCCCCCCAGATTTTTACTGTTTCAAATTTAACAACACAAGCCCCACATTTATGATATCTAAAACTCTTATCTGTAATGAAGACATGTTGTACATTTGAAACAGATGTGATGTAACTGCACTTTCAAATATAACAAAATTCAGCATTGCAGAATAAACAAATTTCTGGTAAAAACAAATTGCTGCACTACATTTAAGATACAGGACTTTAATATAACTTGCTAAAGCTACCTTATCTTTATAAGTAAAGTCACAATAACTTAGTATTTCACAAAATTGCACAGCGCCATTCTTGCAAAAAGAGGGTTTTTTTGTTTGCCTTGTTTTTAAATTGGAGTAGTATGTTTTTGAGAAATACTAAAATAGAATAGAAACAAAGTATTTATTAGACAACATTGTGCTCATGAATAACTCTAAGAAGATCAAAATACTAATTGCACAATCCAGGCTTTCTGCAAAAAGAAGAGCAAATATTGGATTATTAAGTACTTTCACCAGGTAGAAAGAGTGATTCAACCAAGTAAAAATTAGAAACGTCTAACTTGTAGCAATGCTGACAGCCAACTAAGATTACAGAAAGCATCCAACTCAAGCCTGATATACCTAACAAAACACAATAATCTTTTTATCCAAGAGGGGCTGGCACAACTATCAGGCAGCAGAATTCAGACAAGAACATTTAAAATGCTACACTCCTCTGACATAAAATATTCTTTTACATCAGTGACTTTCTCACTGGAAGAGTTTATGTAATGCAAAAGTGATAATACGAATACCAATAAGCAGTACTCCATGAAATTCAATGTCAATTCCTGATGAGAAATAGTGAGGTGTGAGGTTTTACCCCCGACATGTACTTTTGCAATAAGTCTGCCACCTTCTTTTTCCATCATTATATTATTAAGACATTACATACATCCAAAAAACACAGTACTTGTCTATTAATTAAGGGTATCACTTAAAAATAAATTGATTAGTTTAGAAGTAGTATCTGAACTTTGCTGCCTGACTTTAAGGAATGACAAACGTTCTTTTGAGAAGGGAAGGAGAAAATGGTTAAAACTCCCTCTGGTTCCTTACCTCCTTTCTCACTATCATAGTGTGAAGCATCAAACTGTGCATCATCGTTCGGCAACTGCACACTAGCTATCACGAGATGATTTTGTTCATCTGAAGTATGGGTCCCCAGGACTAACCGGTGAATACTGAAATCTTTGCCTTCAGGTCTGCAAGGGAAGAGAGTTACATGACAAACAAAAAAAGGGGGTTACACAAATACTGAGCTGATTACAATGTTTTTTGATGACAGCTTCTAACACTAATAACACTGTTTAAAGTTATCATTGCTCTCCTGCTCCAACACCAAACTCGCTTCCTCCAGAGGAAATCTCTTATTGGAACTCAAGACCTCAACCTAAAATTCTTGCAGCACAACACTCTGACAGACCACCATTCCTATGCCTTCCTTTAACAGACCTTAGCAGCTCCTCCCAAGTACAACTCTGAGGGCATGAACATTCACTGCAAGCAGAACATTGTTATGGAAGCTTAGGACAAAACGGTGGTTATACAGAAATTATATCTAGTTCTATTTTTTAGTAGTTTTTTGCTTATTAGAGGGGAGGGTGAAGCTGGAAGAAGAAAAACATGGAAATGAAATGTGTAAAAATACCTTCTCAGTAATAGAAGACATTTTCCCAAATTATAAATGTCTCATTATCTCTCTAGTGTTCATAGTCCTCGACTTGCTGTTGGAAAGGCAAGGGTACAAAAAGCAATCAAGACAGAAAGGAATCACATACTGTCCTACCTTAACAAAAAGTGATCCTAGATTTACTATTTATTTTGCTTTAAAAAAAACAACAAAAGGATCAGTTTACCTTGTTACATCAGGAAGCCACTGAGCAGTCAAGCTGGGCCATTCCAGAGCATGGGTCATTACCAAATCGTATAAGAAGGGGGTATTCTTTTTCCATATTTTATACTCTTCATTAATCACACGTTCTTCCACTGCGTCATCAAAGGCTGCTAAAGTTTTTTTAAAAAAATGCATACGATTAGCCTTTATGAATATATTTACAACACACGCACAACACTGTGAGTGGGCAACTGAATAAAGAGCCAACTACATCACACCCTGGTTTCGTGTTAGACTACTCTATTCGAGTAGTGGCTAGATGATTAAAAATCCTTTGTTGCACATGCTAATCCTTGTTTCTGGATGTAAGGCTAGGAATTGAAATTAACCATGTCAAATTTCCATCATCTCAACAGAAACAGCGTAACAAAATTCTAAAACTTGTTGCCACAGGATGTTGTGGAGGCAAAAACCAGAATGGTGAAGATGTTTAAGTGCGGGAGGTCCAGCAACTGCTGTTAAATAGACCGGTCCAGGTGCAGCCTTGAACTCCTAGTTCCCAAAATCCGGTTTTCCAAGGCTCCTTCTGCTGCCTTCTTTCTCTCACACCATCTGCTGCTAACCTCCTCCGCTACAGAAACCAAACGAGCGCAGCAAGACCTTTGGGAGGGCACCCACGGAACACGGCTGTGTGGCCGGTGACATCTCTTTGTCTGCTGCAGGCAGGCAGCTGCCTGCACCCCTCCCGGGGGGACACACACGACATTTCTGCGGCCCTCCCCACCTACACCAGCCCACCGGCCTTTGCTCGGAAAAGACAAACTCCCTCCTTCGGGCGCCAACAAAGGGTTAAAAGGGGGGGGGGGGGAGGGACCGGGATCCGGGCATGGTTCCCCCC